AAAAAAAAAAAAAAAAAAAGGAAAGAAAAAAATTGGCTGGGGTGTGGTGGTACACATCTGTGGTCCCAGCTACCTGGGAGGCTGAGGTGGGAGGATTGCTTGAGCCCAGGAGGTTGAGGCTGCAGTGAGCCGTGATCATGCCACTGCACTCCAGTCTGGCTGACAGAGCAAGACCTTGTCTCAAAAAAAAAAAAACAAAAACCGTGGACAGGTGTTTGTGGACAAGTGTTTAACCCGATCCATTTACTGACGACAGCACCCTGGGGATGTGGCCTAGGAGTTTCTGCCCCTGAGATATCTGAGCTGCCCTGGGATCGATCTTTCTTGCTCTGTTGGGAGATGTCAGTTTCACTTTTCTTTAGATTTTGAAAGCTATCCATTTAATAAAGAGTATTATCCTAACAAATTCTTCCTCTTTCTAAGTTAGCCAGACATGTCTTGTGTAGCTTGCAGCAGTGAAGTCACTTGTCGAAGGCTCCAGAACCAGGAAGTGGTGGAGTGAGCAAGGACACGCTGAGCCTGTCTGACTGCAGGGCCATGCTCTCAGCTGTGACCTGTGACCGTCTCCTAGGGCTGGACTTGGGCTCAAGCGGCAGGGCTAACCCTGGAAAGGAGAGGCAGGATGGGTAGAAGCACGGGCCTTCATAAACATCCTAGAAGAAGACAGCTGAGGGCACACGCCCCAGGAGCCTGCCTTCTGTTTGCGAGGAGGCTGAGAAAAGGCTCAGATGGTCTAAGGAGACCAGGAGAACAGGGAAGAAGGGAAGGGAGAGGGTTGGGGCAGTTGGCCAGAGCCCGGGGAGGTACTGGGGCTACCGTTCATGGCGCAGGAACACGTTGTTGAGATTGTCATTGACGATGAGCAGCTCCTCTGTCAGCTGCTCATTGGCGATCTGAGGGATGAGCTCCAGGACCCGCTGCTGCATGGCTCGGCACGTGCGGTTGAGCTCCTGCCAGGAAAGAAGTGAAACGACCACAGCCACGTGACTCAGAGTGAGGCCATCTCTAACACACAGGCCTCCAGCCCCTGCGCAAGCCTTGGAGGAGGAAGAGGTGTCCAAACTGGACTTCAAGGTTCCATGGAACAGCTTTATGGGTTTTTCACAAACATGAACTTGAACTGCACTTTCAAGTGTTATAAAATTTCATCCACAGGAAACCATCAACTGTTCAATGTTCAACTGTGCTGCTGGTTTAACTTGGCTTCGTGCAGACTGCAGAATAAAAGCTGTGCCACCATCTTTGCTTAGTTGAAAAAACAGAGGCTGGGTGTGGTGGCTCACGCTTGTAATCCCAGCACTTTGGGAGGCCGAGGCAGGTGGATCACAAGGTCAGGAGTTTGAGACCAGTCTGTCCAATATGGTGAAACCCTGTTTCTACCAAAAAATACAAAAATTACCAGGGCGTGCTGGTATACACCTATAGTCCCAGCTACTTGGGTGGCTGAGGCAGGAGAATCACTTGAACCTGGGAGGCAGAGGTTTTGGTGAGCTGAGATCGTGCCATTGCACTCCAGCCTGGGCAACAAGAGCAAAACTCCTTTGCAAAACAAAAAAAAATTAGCCAGGCGTGGTGGCATGCGCCTGTAATCCCAGCTACTCGGGAGGCTGAGGCAGGAGAATAGCTTGAACCCAAGAGGCGGAGCTGCAGTGAGCTGAGATCACATCACTGTATTCTAGCCTGGGTCACAGAGTGAGACTCTGCCTCAAAAAGAAAAGAAAAGAAAAAAATTGAAAACCACAGCGTTAGGGTTTTCATTTTTAAGACTGGTTATTTGTGGGCCGGGTGCGGTGGCTCACGCCTGTAATCCTAGCACTTTGGGAGGCCAGGGTGGGTGGATCACCTGAGGTCAGGAGTTCAAGACCAGCCTGGCCATCATGGTGAAACCCCATCTTTAAAAA